ACAAGCCTCCTTGTATTTGACCTTGTTTTTAAAACATCTCCAGAAGCTTAAAACGTGTTGTTTGTTTTAAAGAACCGAAGCGAGAAAAAAAATACATTTTCTAAAGCAGTATGATTTGATGGACAGAGACATGTGTGAAAAGTCCGCTGAATATTATTTAAAAAACATCACAGGCCTTCATGTGCATGGCACAAAGTGATGTTTTGCGTCAGCTGCCTGATGCCATGACGTTATTTAAAGTAGGAAATTATATATATATGACGAAATAGCAAGAGTAAAAAAATATGGAGTATTTTCTCAATGAAATTGTTTTTATTACATTATATAACTTTATTTTCTAGTCTATACTTACAGTTGCTAATCTGCACAGACATTCGCAGAAAAAAATAGTTGCTTATCCTTTCCCGGTTTGGTTCTTTGCTCAGATGTTTCAGTATATATTAAAGTATTCTGTCCTATATTATTTTTCGAGTCTGCATGAGGAGAAAAATAACTCCAGCGCCTCTGGCCTGTGTGTAATGGGTACTCACCTGCCGGCCTTGGTGACGATCATCTCCGTGCCTAGCTGGTTAAATTCATCCCATAAAGCTTTCATCTCCAACTGAACGTTAATGTTGGCAACTTTCGGGTTCTTCTTCACTATAGTTTTGCTGTTCGGCGTAGAGTTTGAGGACGATGAGGAGCAATTGGCGGTCCCGTTGTCGTTCGACGGGGCCTGGCCCTGGTTGGATCCCGGATAGTTGTAGTTGTGTTGGGCGGCCGGGCAGGGCTCGAAATGGGACTCATGCTGACTGTAGGGGTCCCCGGGGGAGGGAGAGAGGTGGTAGCCCCCCGGCGTGTTGAGGCTGCTCAGGCTGCTCGTCGTGAAGGCTGCAACATCGCAAAAATGGGACAGCTGCGTCAGCCACGGACTGGATATGGCTGAAATCATCCCAGAAAACTAGATTTTACTAAATATGCCTTTCACTTCAAGTCGATTATAACACAGAGAGTGAAAAACAGAAGCAGGATTCAGCGATCCCCAGAGGAAAGCGTCAAGCACGAACGCACTCGTTTCGGTTTAAAAAGTTTCCGTCTCGGCTGTTCGGCAGTCCCTGAGGTTTCATCCACTGCCAGCATGCTACGGGCTGCCTGATCTAAAATAGGAGACCTCCGAAAAGCAAAGAAAAGAAAAGTTTTCCCCAAAAAGCGGTTCGGGTCCCGTAGAATCTCCGAACTATTCGAGGAAACTAACTCGGAGTGCGCATGAATTGGTTTTCGCTCGTGATCGATCGCGCTGTGAGCGGCCTCTGTTGTGCGCTGCTGCAGTGTGTTAACACTGCACACCAGTCTCCTCTCTTATCTGACGCAGAGGGCCTCCCCTTTGCGATAAAACCGGTTCTTATTTCTATTTAGATAAGGAACTGCAGGTAATGTGCCTTTTCTTCGCCTTGCAACCAGACTGATTGACAGAGAAGTGCGCCCCTTTTTAATGGCTTTTCCGGCACCCATTTAACTTTTGGATAAGGATATCGCCCACATCACCCCCGTTAACAAACAATGGAGGATGTGCCAGGCAGAGGGGAGTGCAAACGCTCTACAAGGTAAACACACATTGATTTGCATGAACAAACAAACAGGCAGCAGGTGACTGCAGCCCTCTCCTGATGGACAAATAGACGCATGGGATGGATATACAGCCCCCCACCCCCTTCCAAGCTGGGTATGATTATTATAGTCTGTTTTTACCATTACGCACGGGGCGCCCGTGTAAACCCTCCTCCTCTTGGCTTCATGCTGAATGTATGTGATTCTGTCCACGAATTAAAGTTGTTTCTTGGTACACCACTTTGGGATTTTGGCACGGTTTTGAACGCGCCCCGCCGCCTCCGCCCGCCGCCCGCCCCGGCGTAACCACATTCTGACTGTTTTGTTTCCAGACTTCTCCTCAGTGATGGTGAACACGGCGATTAAAATCTGCAGAATTTTTTTTTCACCGTGGCTCATCTCTGTGACACTTAAAAAATAAAACAAAGCTGTAATTTCCTTCCATACTTTCCAAAACAACGCACTCATGCGCGGTTTTGCGCATTTCAAAAACGTCGGAGAATCAGGCAAACCCAAAGTTGCTAGGGGGAGAATTTCGGGTGAGACGTACACATGCTACATCAGCAAACACAATTACCTTCCATTTCCCGGGTGACAGTGCTGTAGTGCATTTTAAAGGAACTGTGGTTATGCAGGTCTGGCTTGTCCAGGCCGGTGCCGTGTTTTTCAAACGCTGCGTTTCCTGTTTGCTCTGCAGCCGAAATCAGAGAGGCAATACTGAAAGCATTTGCCTTTGGAGAGAGGGGACCGCCGTCGTCCATAGGCAAGAGATCGAGTCGTTAAAAGCCGTCCCTCCTCCTCCTTTCCCCCCGCTTTCTAACCGCGCAGAAAGCAGGAGAAGGCTGTGCACAACGGAGAGGAACATGCGCTAAAATTTGGGGGTGGTTTCTCACATTCCGCCACTGGCTCTCCGTGGGTTCTTATGAAGGTTTTCCCACGATTACAGTGAAGACGCCAAAAAGCCTGGCGATGCTCCGATTTGCGTGACGAACCCCTAAACGCGTCCTGGTGTCAAAGCATAGTTCATCCGCTTAGAAGCGAGAGAGCGAGAGCTTCCCCTGTTTCTCCTCCGATCGCTGGCGGGGTGGTGTCATCTGAGTCCTGCCTTGAGGAGAAGCTACTACTGCTGCGAGAATGTCAAAAGTGAGCGAGATCCACGCCTCCCCTGCATCACTGTAGGAAAAAAAAGTGTGCGCGCTCTACACTCGATGTTTTATTTCAATAAGACCTTGTCAGTCATTTGGATTCGACTCCAACGTCACCGCAGTGTCCCGTCTTTAAAGAGCGCCACTTTTCCAGTAAATTACGCGTATGTGCCGGCGTGCGCATACTTAGATTTCTCGAGAGTTTGCGTGGAGCACGAGGAGCAATAACAGCTCCAAATCTGATGAGTGCTTTGTGCGAGGGTTCAGATCCAAAATGCAGTTTTCTTTTAAAAAAAAGAAATATGGAGACAAAAATAAATATCAAGTAACCCACACATCTGACTTCTTTCTCAGATGCTTTGAACGTTTAGTGAGTCAAAAAAAAAAAGAAAAGAAAAGAAAAGAAAGAAAGAAAGAAAGAAAGAAAGAAAGAAAGAAAGAAAGAAAGAAAGAAAGAAAGAAAGAAAGAAAGAAAGCAGAATATAACGAGAATATGTTTTAATCCAAGCAATTATTTATCTGAGAGTCGCAGAGATGGAAACCAGTCAGAATGCAGATGCACTTTTGACTTTTGAGGAGTGTCCAGCCCCTGTGTGCACACATTTTTCCCCAAAAGCCATCACATTCAATTAGTTTCGTGTCAGACACACCTGGATATACACGACACAGACTCGCAGAAACAGCACCCTTGCAGTCAGTAAAAATGAGAAGCATACACACGTGGCATTTCAGGCTGGAGTTGGACTTGACCTCTCCACCTCCCGCCTTCAGTCTCGCTTTGTTGGTTCTCAGCTTATCGAGGTTCAACTTTAATGTGCAGCGACTCAAGATGTGTTTTGCTGGAAGCTGGTGCGATAGCGACCGGATAGAGTTTAATTTACACTGGAGTCAGTGAATTAAGCGTGAAAGCAGCAGCGGGGTTCTAATGGGATAAAGCAGTTAGAGGATTAGGCCTATTTGTTTTGGATGTTTCTCCATGGGAGGCAGGGAGCATAAATAAACCCCTCCTAGATAGATAGATAGATAGATAGATAGATAGATAGATAGATAGATAGATAGATAGATAGATAGATAGATAGATAGATAGATAGATAGATAGATAGATAGATAGCAATATAGATAGATAGATAGATAGATAGAGATAGATAGATAGATAGATAGATAGATAGATAGATGATAGATAGATAGATAGATAGATAGATAGATAGATAGATAGAAATCGAATTGGTTGATTTATTTTGCATTGATCGCTGTCAAAATATTGTAAACCATCACCCACATGATGTATTCCTCCCGGCAGTTTTTAAAAAAAAAATCTGATATGATGCCATCGATACCGGCTCACTTGATCATTGCCAAGTCGGAAGCCTCCTTTGTTAATAGTTAGGTGATAACAGACAAAATACAGGAGCTCAGCGAAATGGGAAGAGACTGTGTCGGAATTCGCTCAGCCGAGGCACAGTGGACTCAGTAAAATGTGAGCCTGAAGATAATAATAATAATAATAATAATAATAATAATAACAATAATAATAATAATAATAATAATAATAATAATAATAATAATAATAATAATAATAATTCATTCGCCCAATACGGGAATATTCAGACCAGCAACCCAAAATAAAGGCATAGCAAACTCTTGCTTGAGTGAATAAAATGCTGAATTTGAAGCTTCAGGGCGACGGAAATTGGGATTTTTATTTTGCCTGTGAGAAAGAGATAAACTCATTTTTGCATCGTGGAAAAAAATAAAAATACCTGCAAACTTTATGTTAACAACAACAAAACAAGATTTTAACGCTGATGATCATAAAAAGGCAGCCAGGCTGACCAGAGTTTAGTAGTTTTCCCTTTGTTTTGTGTTGATTTTAAGCGGCTTTACGCGTTTTTATTGAGTTAAACGGAGCTTTGTGTTTGGACTCTTTGGGCCTTTTTACTCTGTACTCTCTGATAGAGTCTGCAGACTCTGTCACGAAGAGTTTAGCTCATATGGTGCAAAGCTGACATCTAGACAAAGTGAGCAAAGTATGTAAACAGTTCCGGCAAACAGCTCTCACTGATTAGAGGATGCAGGCCCGAACAGCATTTCTCGGCCCACTGGCTGATGGATGCAGAACAGGAATATGTGACATCAGGTAAGGTGCTGTTGATCTCTGAGGATAAAATCACTTTTACTCAACCCGGAGTCATTTTTTACTGAAAAGACCATGAAGGAAACGATATTTTCTACCGAGGCCAAATTAGGGACTAAGTGCTGTAACAAAGCATCTGAATGAATTTATAATTGTAGGCTCGTTGTGGAAATTAAAGGCCATTCTTGGATTTGGTGATTTGAAAGTTCCTGAACCGACATTCAAACATTTTACTTTGGTGTTTGACTTGAAAGTACTCTTGATACAAATAAAAACACGTGAATTTAATATTTTTTTCTGTAAGAAAGAGCTAAGTGAACTTTGAATTTTAATTACGCATGATGGCTCTGCTGACACGGAGTAATTCGACATTTTCACCTGGAACTCTTTATTTCAAAATTTTATTGTGGCTAATTAATGCACCGCAAAACGCATTCATGGTTTAGACTGCGCTCCAGTTTTTCCTCTCATTAATACAGGATATGCTTACTTCAAAGTAAGCATAAGTAAGCATATCCTGCATATAGGTGTAAAGCTATTCTTATTTCTGTTAATGAAGAGACAATAATAATTTGGGGCATCAAAACCACTCTGGTGATGAGTGCCACTTTAAATTCAAATCATAGTTTTTTTAAAATTTTTTTTTAATAATTTAAAAATATGTTTGCACTTGCTTCGGTCCTATTATTTACCTGATCTGCCGTTGTTAACCTCCAAAGGTGACAGAAGCCAACAGAAGGTAAACCTAGATAGACTTTGAGCCAGTTGCCGTGCGTCTTGACGCACAAGAATATTCGCGCAAAAGTTTTCCGATAACAATTTTCCAGGATGGTGTGATTGTACTTCTGTCTCAGCGACAGTGCTTCTACACGTTTGGGCAATCAGTCACTCACACACCGCACATATTTATGTTGTCGGTGGTCTTCCTGATGGTCTCCTACAAGAGAACCGCTGGCTTCTGTTCCTCCAGTAGGAGAGGCCTGTGTGGTCCTGTATGTCCTGTTTGTGGTAACATGACAAATCACCAAACCACAACCTCTTGCCCGTGCCTCATTAAATTGCACAGATCCATCGTGAAGGCATCGATGGTTGCTATTTTCGTGTTATTAGTAAACAGAGATGTGATTGGGTCGTCGGGATATCTGCATGGACATGTGGGCGCGCGCTGTCTCCTCTGCGTCTTTCTGCTCGATCCCTCTGCTTCTCCCAGACACTCAAACTAAAAGAGCTTATCATCTCCTCTGATGTTTGTACCTGTGTGTCGTGGAGATGTTTAATTAGGCTGTCTGTGCCGCAGTCAGCCTGATAAGATTATTGTTTACGCGCTCATATTATTTGACAGACAATAAATCATAGCATCTTCCGCTGGTTATAAAAACAAACAAACAAACAAACAAACAAAAACACAAAAAACAAACAAACAAAACAATGATTTGCACATTCTACCCGAAGCTATTGAGACCTGTGGAGACTCCACGTATAAAACTCCGTGCTATCTAACTAATGGTCAAAATCTCAGCATATAGAGAACTGAGTGAGAGGAAATACGCCGCTGACCGCTAACAGCAGAAGGCCCGGGGTATCCACGCTCACCGCGGGGCTTCAGGGAACGCACAGAGGCGCACTTTACGCAGGAGGGAAGACTAAAACATGCCTCATATACAATCATGACAAGGAAAACTCATGCAAATAAAGTTCTAAACATAAATAAAATGAA